GCACGTGGTATCTTAAGTCCTGGTCTAATGAAGTTCCAAGCACCTTCAACAGCATACTGAAAGTCACCAGTGCTTCAGCAGAAGTGGTAGTAGCATTTGGAAAAAGCTGCTGCTGGCAGAATAGGTGGCCAGGGTATCAGGATATCTCACTGAATATCCTGTGGACAGATACTCTTTGACTAAGTGAGCACTTAGGAGCCTTCACATTGCAATCAGAGGCAAAGTGAATGTGATTCCTACAGGACACTGCATGAAGTATTTGCATGTGTTTATGGTCATTAGGTCAAACTGTTTCTTATGGATAGGTAATACAGTTGGCACTTTTGGTTCTCCTCAGTGCATTGCAAGAAGGGCAAACAGAGGCTGTAGATAAGTTAACTGAAGGAAACAATGTATCTGACAGTATTGTCTGTGCAAACACATCCTCAACTATTAACCTTTGCAAAGGCTAAAATAACAATTTTGATCAACCCTTAGAAGTAAAGGCAAAGGTTTTAGAGCCTTTACTTTTGCAGTACTGTTAACTCCGATGTTAGCATAATCTTTGTTTTGGTTTGGATGTACCAGAAAAACAAGTCAAGCTGTGAAAAGGCAAAATGATAAAAACACCACAATGTGCAAACCTGTGGTCTGACTTCACTCTTAGAAGGAGGCCCTGCATGAGGGTGTAACTGCACTTCCTGAGTGCAGGGGCCAGTGCCTGAAATCAAGCTGTGAAACTTCACTCAAGCCAAGCAGCACAGGGAAGGACTGTGAGAGTAGTGAGGGATAAGAAAAAGCTGAGTCTCTTTGACACTGTCTTCACTTGACACTGATACTTGATTGGAGCTGTATTATTTCCCATACTCAATCTCTGCACTGGGGGAAACACCTTTCAGAGCCATTCACCCATCCTGACCATGCAGACATTCATTAAACTCCAGGAAATCAAGTTTTGTGTCTTTGGGGACCTAATACAGGATCCTATAATCACCACAGCTGCTTTCCTGCCCACCCCAGGGAACACACACCGAACTGTCAGGGTGGGAAAGACCTTGGTACCGCCTCAGAAGGAACCAAAAACTAGCACAGTCTGTGTGACCACTGGGCTAAGCACCTTCATTTGTGGAGGTTTTTCTGGGAAAACGTATGACTGCCTCAAGCTCTTGGTAGTCTGCCTGCTTTCTAATTAGTAGATCACTTCAAATGAAACAGAAAGAATTCAGGTCTTCAGAAACTTTGCCAAGCTTCAAACAAAGGAAATGAAATTACATGAATTACAGAAACAAGTGCTTTGCACTAGCTCTGCAGTGAATTAGGGAGGAAAAATGATATCATATCTGTGTGTGAAAATGATCTGTGACAATAAAATGCTGTAAGTAGTGAAGAACAAAATGACGGGGATGGACTAGAGAAGAAGTCAAAAGGAGAAATGAGAATTAGTCAATCACTAAAATACAGCAAGATTAGCAATAGTTTCTCCAAACGTAACTACTCTCTTCTCTGACAAGTTGCAAATGATTGCAGGGCATTTTGTGTAAAAGTAAAATGACACGGTTTCTGTCCAGTGATGTTATAGGAATAAGATGCATAATTTTTATCACATATATGTTGGTGCATATTCCAGCGACCGTAAGTAAACTGCTTCTTGGTCAAACTGTCATAACATCATTTCAGCAGCTGAGGGCACTCCATGACCAGCTAAATGGAAAACGCAGTCCTGCTGACAGCTAATCTGAGGCAGGAGAGCAGACGTTTTGGTAGCAGAAAGCTGTTGATGAGGCCAGGAGGGTAGAAGGCCAGCTCTGCCTGCCCAAACCAGCGTGGGCTGCCACCTGAGCGCAGTATGGGCTGCAGGGCTGTCGGTATGTGTGACTGTAGGAGCATAGTGAACTGGCTCAGACTGGCATCCATCTGATGGAAAAGCGTATTAGTGGCACCACAGGAAGGAAGTTCAGTTGTGAGACAGTTAGGAGACCAGGTAGACTGTGTTGATAGTGATTTCACATAAGGACTTGGCTGGCCTGGCATGAACACAGTGCCAAGTATCTGTGATATCCAGGGAGTTGAACATCCAGGATTTAATGCACTTCTTTCTGGAAATTTAAGTCTTCAAACACCTCTTTTTCACAATGCTAGGGTACAAATGAGCGGTTCCTGCCAAGACCTTCTTCACAATAGCCTGTAATTAGGCCACTTATGACTCTGTCAAATTGCCATTCCTCCTATGACGCAGGGATTTATGCACACCTGGGCTTCCCAGACCCTTGATAATCAGACTTTCATGAAAAAGATGTACACTTGTGTCAAAATGAAGCTGTAGGCATAAGGGATTACTTTTTTTTCCTGGAGCCACAGACAGAAGCCTGAGTTCAGGCTACGTCTGCCCTCTTTCTTGGCAGGGTAACTGCACTGCTGCATACTGATCTGGCTACAGAGCTGCTGCTATCTTACCTAGCTTGCAAATGAGCTTCTTGTGCAGACTGCAGGTACACTTGAGTACTCATCTGACGTAACTTGGAATAAAAAGCGGGAGATTACAGAGGACTGGCTAGGGTGGCGTTCCTCTTGCAAGATATGAAAGAGTCAGTTTCAAGTCTTTGCAATAATGTTATTTTATCCAGGAGAACAGCTTTAGAAGGAAACAAATGAAATATATTAATTGCAAACTATCTAGTAGCTCTCCACAGAGCTAAGAAATGTAAGTAATGTAAGTGTAAGAAATGTGCCAGCACATAAGCTTTTAGAGGCCTCTGGAGTACTTAGGTGTTAAACTTAGTACATACAGCTAAAGTTACCCGATGATCTGTGCATATTTGGACTTTGAAGACAGGACAGAACTCACAAGACAGCAGAAAGAATGGAGAAGAGGAAAGATGAGGTAGCAAATTCAGAGGCAGAAAGGGCAGAAGCACAATTTATCATTGGGGTTAAGAATGCTGTCAAAAATTCTTATTTTTTAACAGTTTTTCCTTCATAAAACCTCGCAGTGGATAGTGTGGTAAACTTTGACACCCTGAGATAAGTGTTAAGTAAATGCTACCTGTGCCAAAGTGGGAGAAGCAATCTTAGAGGAACTGAACAGGCTCCATGGGGCAGCCCAGCAGCCTCATGGCTTTTTGTAACTCAAAGGGAACACAGTTTAAAGACTTTGCTGTGGCAAAGTATGTCAGCATAAATAGTCCCAGTCTTACTTACCAGAACACTTTTTATATTCAGCTTTAACCATGTGCTTGTGTCCTCTTAAAGTGAAGTTTAACAGTCTTCCTTAAACCTGTACCAGAGAAAACCCGTTTTTCTTAAATTTGCTTTTTTATCACGTGTAGTACCACTTCTTTCCAGCGGAGGGAAAACGTGTACGTCTATCCTGCTTAGTTTCCCCTTTCCCCATACGCCTTTCAGCACAGCAGACCAAAGCAACTTAATGACAGAAAATAAAGCATCAAGAATTCACGTTGACATTAGGTGACTTATTTTGCAATAATGGATACTAATTTGGAGGAAGTTAGATTGTGTGAGGGAAAAAATATTTGTCCTGGAAGGCAAATGCTTGCAGGGCTAAGGGGTGAGTGGGCACAGGACAGAGTACAATCTGTGTATCCCAATTTTTTGCTTTTCTTGTTTTATCTCTGCCCCTATGGTTAATCACTAGTAATACTAGCATGATTTGACTAGACTTTGCAGCATGAGGTAGGAAGTAAGACACCTGCATGCAGGCGCTGTAAAACTGTGGATGGGTAGAAGTGGCATGTACACAATCCAATATATTTTACACTTGAGCACTGTTACCTTCATAATGCAATATCTATGTAGGAAGATGTAAATATTGTTGTTCTGCACTTTTTCTGGTTTTTTTTTGGGGGGGTGTTTTTTTTTTTTTCTTTTTTTTTTTTTTGTGGGGAGGCGGGTGGGTATCTGATTAAAACATGCATCCTAATGTAGACACAGTAAAATAAGTATATTTTTGTGTTATTTTGAGATCTGAAACAAGACATGTTCAGAGACTGGCACTGAAATAATTTATACAGTTACATGCTCTGAGAGTCATTTGTGTTAAATCAATGAGACTTTGATTTTTGCCAGCAATGAAAGCAGGTAGTATTCTTAGTGTGTGCCAACAAGCATTACTTCATAAATGCATAGTAAACCAAGGCAGTAATGAACTTCAGTATTTTTGCATTTTCATAATGGGAGAAATGCAAAACTATTTCACATTTCAAAACTTTTCTCCCATACACACACTTCATTCTTCAACAAATACCTGTACTCATCCATCTAGATCACAGGTCCTGGACTACAATTGCCTTCAGGGTTCTTCAAAATTAGTTTATGTGCATTTGGAATGTTTAAGGAAATGTTTCTGCTTGTGAGAAGATTTTAGAACCGATTGTTGTCAGGCAGCTCTGGAGTGTGTCACTAAGCACCGGTTCTGTATGAAGAAGGAGGGACAGGGTAACTCCTTGGCACTGGGGCAGGCACCCCAATGATTTGCACTGTCTCAGCAAGTCCATGGTGGCTCGCGTAACACCGAGATAAAAAACAGGCCCTGGCTCTCTGCTGTGGCAGAGCAGCTTAGGCATAGGTGGGAGACACTTCTTTCCTTCTTCGTGTGCAGCAGCAGACACTTGTTAGCGGGTTGCCCATACAGGCCACGGCACCGATCGTCTGTCAGAAACTCCCGCCGCTCCATAAACAGCAACCGTAAAGTCAGGAAAATACACCCTGTGCTGAGGTTCCCCTCGCCGCGTTCGCGGCCGGGGGGCGGCCCAAAGCCGCCCGGCCCTGCTGCACCAGGGCTCGAACGGGGCTCGGCCCCGGCCCCGCTCCCGCCGCACGGCGAGGCAGAGCAGAGCACGGGAGAGCGGAGAAAGGAAGGGCAGGACGGCCCGCGGGCCGCCCCGGGGCCGGGCCAAACCGGGCGGGCGGAGCGGGGCGGCGGCGGCGGGGGCCGTCCCGCAGCGCCGGGGCGGAGCCGCCGCCCGCGATATAAGGGACGACCCGGAGCGCTGCTCGGCGTCGGGAGCGGGAGGAGGTTGAGGCGGAGGTTGAGGCGGGCCGGGGCCGCGCGGTGATGGAGCTGCTGCGGACCATCGCCTACCCGCCGGGCGGCGGCGGCGGCGGGAAGTGCTGCGAGGCGGCGCTGGGCAGGGCGGCCGGCGGCGAGTCGCGGAGGAAGAAGGCGGAGGAGCAGCCGCACCAGCACGCCCACCCCGCCGCCGAGGTCTCCCGGATTATTACCGACCCCACGACGGGGAAGCGCTACTGCCGCGGCAAGGTGCTCGGAAAGGTAATGGCCGCGGCGGGCCCCGTGCCCTCCCGGGGCGGCGGCCGGTGAGTCCCGGCGCGGCCGCCCCGCTCGTCGGAGCGCGGGTCCGGGCGCTGCCTCTGCGGGGCCGCCTTCCTCCGTGGGGTGCTGGGGTGCGCCGCGCTGCCGCCCCCCGCCTGCCCCGCGTGGGGCGTGCCCCGCCGCTGCCCCGCTCCAGCCGCCCTGGGTCCGAGCACCCGACCTGTCCCCCGATTCGTCTCTGCCCCGAAATGCGAGAGGAATCGTGACTTCAGCTCGGGCAAGCCCGCAGGAACGACTTCGGTGTTGCATGCGGGGCGGGGGGGAGAGCCGCAACGCGAGCCGCCCGATAGGCGATGAACCGAAGACCTGTCTTTAACCAAATTATCCTGTGCAAAGGAAGTTGCGCTCCTTGACTAATACATGAGCTGGTGAATGACTAAGTGTGGGACTTCTTTCATACCTACTATAATTGCCTTTTTCTCATGTGTCTCTCTAGGGTGGATTTGCCAAGTGTTACGAGATGACAGATTTGACAACAAATAAAATTTATGCTGCGAAAATCATTCCTCACAGCAGAGTAGCAAAACCTCATCAAAGGGAAAAGGTGTGTGTGCACAAATGACTACTTTTTTTTCTTTTTTTTTTTCCTCCTCAAACTCTCTTTGTGTGCTGCATTGCCCAGCCCTTTTCCTGAAATGGTTCTGATAGAGAACACCTCATGCTCAACCTTGTGGACGCAAGGCTAACAACACTTTTTTTTTTTTCCACCCTCATGTCTCTTCAGATTGATAAAGAGATTGAGCTGCACAGAATGCTTCATCATAGACATGTTGTGCAGTTTTACCACTACTTTGAAGACAGAGAGAATATTTACATTCTTTTGGAGTACTGCAGTAGAAGGGTGAGCATCAGCTGGGAGAAATCCAGTATTTACTTACCTGTAATCTGCAACTAATTTAAACGTGTGATATGTAAAAGGTATTTTTTGTGGCTTCTTTAGTCGTCATTTCTCCATGCATTGCTTTACTTTTGCTTATGGTGAACCCTATGTTTGAATGTTCAGTGACGTTTCTGCCTTTGTTTTTCCTCTGTAGTCAATGGCTCACATCTTAAAAGCGAGGAAAGTATTGACAGAACCAGAAGTACGATACTACCTCAGGCAAATTGTGTCAGGGCTAAAGTATCTTCATGAACAGGAAATCTTGCACAGGGATCTTAAACTAGGTAAGTTCTGTACCTCACCAACTTCAAAACACAATGCTCCAGCCCTGTCAGCATCGTACCACTTTACACTTGTATGCTGATAGCTTAATTAATAGAATCATCTCAGTTTGTCTTTACAGTGGAAACTTGGATTGCTTAAGGGATGACATTAAGCATTCCTACTTAAAGAAAGAAAAAAAAAAAAAAAGAATCTTGGCTAGCTTCTGGCTTTGAACAAAGTATGACTCAGCACCTGTGGCAAATGCATTCCTACTTTGCAAGAAAAGGACTAACTGGAGTTTCTCTGTCTGCTAGGTAACTTCTTCATTAATGAGAACATGGAACTGAAACTGGGTGACTTTGGCTTGGCAGCTAGGCTGGAACCACTGGAGCACAGGAGGAGGTAGGACCATAACAAAAAATGTAAAGTCCAGTAGTACTAGTAGTAAATGAAAACAAATTCTTTTAGAAACAAGAAATCCTGTTCCATAGCAAAAGCTAATTGCTTCTGGGATCAAGATTTCCCCTTCTAGAAAACAGGCTACCATGCTTTGACTTCTGCTTTCTTCTGAGCATTTGAATAATAGCAAATGCCAGAGGCAGGGTACCTGACTGCTTAATAGCACAGATACAAGTTTGCTGTTCCTGTATCACAAAGACACCATGAAACACACACTATTAATGTTCATACAGCTCCTATTTAGGAGTCTCTAAGTTCTTGTCTGAACTTGAGAGGAAAACCTGTCCTGTGAAAAATAGCTTCTCTTCTCTTTCTATCTGAAATACTAACTGGTTCTGTGGCCTCTTTGATTTGCAGAACAATATGTGGCACACCAAATTACCTCTCTCCAGAAGTCCTCAACAAACAAGGGCACGGCTGTGAATCTGACATCTGGGCCTTAGGCTGTGTAATGTAAGTATTTTGGTGCCTTTGAAATGGAATATTTCTATCACTGGCTTAGGCTTTTAAGAGTTCAAAGGGGATGCAGTACTGCATCCGTTTGCAGCCCTTTTTACATGTGTAGCCCAAGTGCAGAAATTCTCCTTTGTGTTAGGAGACAGATGCAGCATTTTCAGTAGTTGCAGATAAGTATCGTGGGTGTGTAAAAGAAATAAAATTGGTTTCCTTTGCTTTTACACAGGTACACAATGCTTTTGGGAAGACCCCCATTTGAGACCACAAATCTCAAAGAAACATACAGATGTATAAGGGAAGCAAGATACAGCCTGCCTTCATCTCTCCTGGCACCTGCGAAACACTTAATAGCCAGTATGTTGTCAAAAAATCCTGAAGATCGGCCCAGTTTAGATGAAATAATTCGACATGAATTTTTCTTACAGGTTTGTACTCTCTGGTGTTCTGGCTGAAAAAATATCTACCCTAAAATGCACTCTGTGGTCTAAAAATTATTTTTTGTATCTTATTTCTGCAGGGCTTTACACCCGATAGACTTTCTGCTAGCTGTTGTCACACTGTTCCTGATTTTCATTTGTCAAGTCCTGCTAAAAATTTCTTCAAAAAAGCAGCTGCTGCTCTCTTCGGTGGTAAAAAGGATAAAGCCAGATACTTTGACACACACAGTAAGTGGATTGTAGCTATTCTTGAAACTTATGTCTATGCCATCAGTGTCATACTAGTAATATACAGCTATGAGATAGCAGTGGAACAGTTGTATTTGTCTTGGAGCTTCCATGGATTAGTCTTGGCCTCTTAATAAGTATAGATGGCAGCCTGAAACCTATGCCAAGTTACATAAGTAAATGCTGCTTGTGGCATACTGACAATCTATATTTGCCATCTGTTTGTCTGCAATATCTACTAAAGTTTAGTCTCTTAGTGATCTGTGTGTAATGACACTGCTGTTCTGGGAGATTATGGCAGTTTTACAAGCTATTGGAGGTAGACAGTGCACTTTCTGCAACTATCTTGTTAGGCTTTTCTGTAACTGAACAGCACTTTCAGATGCAGTGTTAAGTATTTTTTTCCTGTACTACAGACAGACTAGCTAAAGAAGATGAAGAAATCTACAAGCTCAGGCATGATTTGAAGAAGACATCTATAACCCAGCAGCCCCACAAGCACAGAACAGATGAGGTAAATGCAAGTGCAGTTCAATTCAAATCCAGTAACAGTTGGGTGGAGTAGCTAGAATTAAATTATGTTTGACTTGGATATCAGAGCTGGGGCTGTACACAACATAATCAAGCTTAAATGATTAGCAGAGTTGCTTTAAGAGGACTTAACCAAGCTTCACCACAGTATGGTAGCCTTTGTAGGGAGACTATGCTTTTGAGTAATTACAGTAGCATTGTCATCTGTGTGGTAACTTGTCTGCCAGGTGCTCTTTCCCAATATTCCAAATACAGGGCTTCAGTTCGTTATTAACTAGGACTACTTAAAGAATAAATTGTTGAGAATCTAACTCTTGCTATTTGATGTTCAGACCTGCACACAGCTGTTTTGTTGCTAGTGCAGGAGAGCAGAGGGCTGATTAATGTAAAATGCAAACTGAAGATCTAAAAAATGGAAAGACCTGGCATGCTTCTTTAAGCTCAGTGTAACAGTGGCTCTTTGTACTTGCATGAAACATTAATACCAGTTTCCCTAGAATTTATCATTTGTTGAGAAATGGGAGAGCCATGCAAAGCTTGTGTATAAGACTTGGCTTGTGTTATGTTTGATGTTTACATGTCTGACATCTCCTCTAGGAGATCCAGCCTCTTATCACAACAGTAGCGAAGCCGGGAGCGTTGCCAGAAACTAAGCAGATTGGAGACTCTATTCGGATGATAGTCAGGGGAACTTTGGGAAGCTGCAGCAGTAGCAGTGAATGTAAGTGCAGCAAAATGTAATCTCTAATTCTAAATCCCACCTTTCTTTCTTCATGTCTCAGGCTTAGAAGCTTGAAATGAACAGCTGCTTTCCTCCCCACCCCCTATTTTTGATGCTCTAAATTTTACAGCAAATATTTTGGTAGAATTAAAACTGGAAAGCCATAAAGGCTTAACTTCTTAACATTACAGTCTAGATAACTGAGAGGTTTAGAATGAAATCCTGCTCTCTGTGTGCTCTTGTCAGTCTAATAATCATTCTCTTTCAGGCCTGGAAGACAGTACCATGGGAAGTGTTGCTGATACAGTTGCAAGGGTATTGCGAGGATGTCTGGAGAACATGCCAGAAGCAGACAGCATTCCCAAAGAGCAGTTGACAGCATCCTTCCAGTGGGTTACAAAATGGGTGGACTACTCTAACAAGTACGGTTTTGGGTACCAGCTGTCGGATCACACTGTTGGTGTCCTTTTCAACAATGGGGCGCATATGAGCCTTCTGCCAGACAAAAAGTAAGAATGATTACATAACTGACAACTTGCTAAGGCAGTTTAAACATGAAATGCTTTTATCTCATCTCTAACCTCCTTACTCTCTTTCTCCTCTTATAGGACAGTCCACTACTATGCTGAGCTAGGCCAGTGCTCTGTCTTCTCAGCCACAGAGGCTCCTGAACAGTTCATTAGCCAAGTAACTGTACTGAAGTATTTCTCTCACTACATGGAAGAGAATCTCATGGATGTAAGTTCAGTACCTTCTGGATCTTGACTAAACTAATATATATATATATATATATATATATATATATATATATATATATACATACTAAATGTGAACTGAATGCTTAAAATGTCTGCTCCCTTTCCTAGGGAGGAGATCTGCCCAGCCTGACAGATGTACGCAGGCCCAGGCTTTATCTCTTGCAGTGGCTCAAATCTGATAAAGCATTAATGATGCTCTTCAATGATGGCACGTTTCAAGTAAGTTTGGTAGCGTCAGCAGAGAAAATATTTGTAAAACACCTTATTGCAGTAAAACCAGATAAGAGCCAGAAATTGAAAGGAGAAAGTATACAAACAGGAACTTGCTTCTCTCTTACAGGTGAACTTCTACCACGATCACACAAAAATCATCATTTGCAGTCAGAGTGAGGAGTATCTCCTTACCTACATCAATGAAGAGAGGATATCCACAACGTTTCGTCTGACAACTCTTCTGGTTTCTGGATGCTCACTGGATCTAAAACACAGAATGGAATATGCTCTAAACATGCTGCTGCAGCGATGTAACTGAAGGGACTGATTCTGTTAAATGAAACAGACCCTCTCGTTCACTGTGAAAACTACAGTGGAAATGGTGGAGCAACTAGTATGTTGATGATGGATGTGTGGTGGTACGAAAATTTGACTGTCCTAGTGTGCTGGGCACACATCTATTAGACAGAAGCCTAAACCTACTGTTGGATTAAATGGTATGACAAGGAGTTCTTCAGACCATAGTTTTCCTTGCTTCATGTGTGTGTTAAAGATATTTTTGACTTGAACTCTGAGCAGAGTGTGACTGCTTGCTCTGTAAGAGTATTTCTGATGGAGTTAAACTGTGAATATGCATCTGGAGAGGGAGGGGATAGCTCCATTATTATGGAATAGCTGTAATAAGCAGCTTCTGGCTGCTTAACTGTGAACTATGGCCATACTCTTTTTTTTTTTTTTTTTTTTTTTCTTTTTTTCCCCCCTTATTTTTCAAAAATACCCACACTTGTGGCTGGCAAAGTGCATTCCTTGTTAATAATTTTTTTTATTTATTACAGCCTAAAGTGAAGTATTTATTACACAACGTTTTTTTGGACTTTGGCATTTTGAATATAAATCTGTTGGCAATAAAGAGAATAGAAATCTGAAGTACTGTTCTCCTCTTTTTTCTATAATACAACTTAACATGCATTGCTTTACATTATGAAAAAAAAAGGTCTTCTTTCCTTATACCATTTTTAAAAAGTCTGCTATGGGTCAGGATATGAATGACAGGCTCTAATGCTGAGCAGTTTATCCATGTCCATGCACACTCACAGTCACAATCACCTATATGCTGCTAGTAACCCTAAAGCAACTGCTGATGGAGCTTGCAGACTAATGATGTAAGTATTGACACCATCAAGTTATTACATCCCAGAATTGATGTTTTATACTGACTGAAAAGAACTTCCTTCTGGATGATACTTGGTGGACAGTAACTATGATAAGCTATATAAACTTCCTCTTGCTGTGGAAGCATTGCTCTTATTCACCAAGGGCATGAAGTACTCTGACACCTCAGTGGTAGAATTAATTATCCATACCTGTCACTGCCCCTCTATTGTGCTTTACTGTGTGTTTCTAACCTTGGTTAAATAGTAACCCCAGTAAAGTAAAATCAAAATGGTGAGAAGATTAAAGGCTGATTTAGTATCAACTTTGGGTTTATTCTGCCAAATTGATAATGTTGGACAACCACAAGTGTTACTAAGACCAAATAAAATTTACTGTATGCCATAACTTCCCTGTAAAGTAGCTTAAAACAGTGGAGGACAGCATAAGGATGACCCACTGCTTACTGTAATACCACTGCTAATAACTACATTTAGAGCAATTGCTTTCCTAAACTGAAGGTAGTGCCATGTATCAGTTAGACTATACAAATAGATGGAATTATTGAGGACTCATGACTCAGTGCAAGGGCAGAATGTCTACTTCTGGCCTTGTCTTATTTCTCTCTATTACATAGCACATTGACCTTCATAAACACATAACAGTCTTCAAGAAACAGCTCTTGCAGCAGCAAGCAGTAGTTCCATCACTTCTTTGGATTAATCTGTATAACTGAATGAGGTCTGTTCTGAAGGACCTCAATGGCCATCAGTGTTTCCATCAAAGTAGCTAAATGCAAGGAGCAGGCAGTCAATGTAATAAAGTGCAGACTAAACAAAGTACAGATGTCAACCCAAAATAGTGAGTAGAGGCAGTAGCACTGGCTTGCTTCATCTTTCAGCAAGTGTGTATAAATGTGATTGTTTTCCTTGTATTGAATACCATGCATTAAGTAATATTTATTTACTTCTCAAGTCTAGACAGGAAGATCTAATTGAGTTCTTCAGGTGGATTTATTAATGTAACTCTAGGCAGTTCAGTAAAGTTAAATATATACTTCTTATAGTGAGCAGAATTCAGCTTCCCAGCTGTCTACTTTCTTCAATGGATAATGATTGATTTTATTCCTGGGAGGCCGTGGTTTACCTAATTCTGTCGCACACATACAGCCACTGTTGAGCCCTTTTCTGTTACAAAGTAAGATACCACTTTTTGTTTATGACACCAGTAAGCATACAGTTTGTGTGCATTTGAAACACAAAAATTACTTGACGTATAGTACTTAACTTCTTCAAATGGAAAACCAGTTCTTTGACTATCTATGTACTGAGGAAAATATGACCCTTTACTTCAGCTGCTATAATTTATTTGAGTACCAAAATCATCTTTCTGTGGCTGAAATTCAGGATGATGTAAGCAAATAAACTGCCTCTAGGTGTAGGATGTTTAAAAGTGTATATAAAGGCTTCAGATCCTATTGTAGAATGCTAGTTGGTTGTGGACAATTGTAATGCACCTCATTCAAATATGGTTAAATGAATCTGTTATTTGTATGCAAAATGTATGTGTGGTACCAGGATGATAAGTGCTTTCTAAATCCTTCTGTATGTTTCTGGTTAGTTCTCTATATCCTTACCTCACTTTTTATTTCCATCTTGCAAAATAAAAGAAATGTTTAGATCAGGTTAAGGAGAAATACCCATTTCAAAGTACACTATCTTTGTCCCAGCTCCCAGCCCAAGGAAGGAAAGCTGCTTTAAAATCTGTAATATAAGAACTTGCATCAGGAACAAAGGCTGTGAAATTCTTTCCCAGGGTGGATCCTGTCTTAAATAAGAAGCTCTAATGCACTAATTGACCTTCTTTACCCAATCATATAACATCCCTGTGTAATTCTGCATATAGGAAGATTAATATTAGAAAAGTACTTGTCCACTCCTCTATATAACAAATGTCTTACCTTCTCTTGAAAGAAAGTTACATGGTATGGATTTTATGCTTGTTAGGCAGTGATCCTAATCTTCTGTATTGAAAACAAGAGCAAACACAGCATAAGAGTTTAGCTTGGGAGCATATGTACTTGAATGAAAATGTGGGCATTAAAGGATTAGATGAAAGTTGGCACATAGGTTTCTCAGTTATAAGTGGTGGACACATGAAACAGTACTGCCAGAACTCTTATCAAAGCATCTTTAACATATCTTAAAAAATGTTTTTGCAAATATACATACGTACCTCTACAGACCAGAGCACTAACCTGGCAGCAGCAAACAAGTCGAGGAAATGATTCAAATAGGTCATGCTTCAATGTTAACATAATATATTACCCAGTGATGCCACTAGTCACTCAAGTGTTCTAGGGCATTCTGTAATCCATTAAGGTGTTCTGAAATTATTGCATTTCATGAAATCATTTCATAGACTGTATATGAGAAAAAAAAAAATTGAGAGTTTGGGTTACATGTTACTCTGCAATATTGAACAAACTTTCTTGCATTGTCTGGGTTATTTAGGAAACTAGAAAAAGATTCAGTGACTTTAAAGCTATTTCATTACTTTTGAAAATAGTCAGATTGGACAATGCCCATCAATAACTGCAAATTTACTGCCTGATTAGATGGATTCTAAATGTAAATGTGAATTAAAAAAAAAAAAAAAAGTAGTAGGTTCTTCTAGGTAATTAAGAAACCTCAGCTAGATGCATGCCTACGTAATTAACCGAAATCATGCATGGCATAGGCCATAGCTTTTTTCTTTTGGTCTGTTTTTATACTCTATGCCTTATTAACATCAATAGTGGCAGACATGTCTGATTGAATTGGCACAGTGTTAGACTGATACATACAAATTAAGAGATTAAAATCGATTTAAATATACAGTATTGGAAACAAACATCATGATTCATCAGTATTTGGAAATTAGTATAATGGAATGTAAAGATTTAGCCTCAGGATTTATCTGTGTAAATTAGCTTCAGTATGGAAACAAAATTGGTTTGAAAGATTCTGTCATACTGACATAGAATTAGTCTGAGTTTGAAACTGTTGCTGTTTTATTTCTCTACCACAAAAACATGGGGAAAAAAAATGTCCATATCATTACATTGTCCATATCATGTCGATGGGATCTGAACAGAAGTAAGGTATTATCTTGACTGACCATTTACTGCTCTTTCCTACTTACTATTTGAAGAAACACCTCAAACTGTCATGATGGGAATGTAAATGAGTTAGTGAAATCAACAGTACCTTACACAATGGCATTATTGGTACCAAACTGGCCCAGGTGAAGAGTTAATACACATTTTTAATTCAGAGGTTAAAAATCAGTAAGGTACTTTACAGTTGCTTCCATGAAGGACCTTGGGTGGAAAAACTGAATGAACTCTCCAGCACTTTGCCAGAATGTAGTGCTGCTGTCTTTTGCGGCAGGCCAGGGATGAAAATTACTTCATGCCCTGCCTCCCTTACGTATCTTGAATGATCATGAAAATGACTGCTTATTTTCTATTGACAATTTCAAAAGACACATAAAAAAGAGGGTGGAACAAGTGTTCTCCATGAGGGAGTGGGTGGGTGGGTGTCTCTCCATACACTGAGAATCTTAGGCAGAGGTGGACAAAAGAAAGTAGAGGGAACCGGTAGTCAGCCCAGAACCTCAAACATTCATGATGCTCTGTTTCTCCTCACCAATCCTTCCCAATGACTTTAGCACAACTTCTGTAGTCTTCCCACCAGATAACAATCCTGATCTCTCTACTGACATGTTAGACTTAGTCCTGATTGTGGATATTGAATGGATAAATAGTTAAAATTGTTTTTAAGTCAACCACTTTCTTTTTTTTAAAAAAAAAAAAAAAAAATTAGATACTTGCTCCACAGGACACTTAGTGTTTTGCTACTATTATTAGTAGAGGTCTCAACTAATCCTTTTTCCCTTCTTGGAGATCTCATTTTTACCATGTAGAAGATTTTCTGTTCTTTTTTTCTGAAGACCTCAGCATGGGGAATAAACACTACCTCATTGAAATTATTTACCTGGATTTAAGATCTTGTGGGCTGATAACCTATCACACGGCTAGGTATTCCTAGACAAAGATAAGTCTGAAGTGCTATAGTAATTCAAATAACCCATTTAGAACCTGATCATCTTGGACATCATTCGTGTGGACCATTATTATAAAGGACTCAAAATTCACAGTATTTCAACATCAAATGACCACCACATCAACACTGTTAACGAGGCAAATAAAAGAAGCTTTGAGGTCATCTTTTCAACCTTACTGCAGACTCAGGAAGACCTCACCTGCTGTTTCAAACACTTGATTTCACAGACACAGGCTTTAGAAACAAGTTAATAAGTAAACTGACAATTCATGAAAATTCTACACATATGAAATGTTATGCTCTTAAAAGTAGCATCTGTATTTATAACTTATGGTGATAAGGCTTTTTTACTTATGTTGAAAAGTTCAAAGGAGGTTTATGGGTTTGAATTAGCATTCATTGGAGGAGAGAAGGAGACAGGGCTTTTGTAGTGGGATTCTGGCTCCAGTAGATGAAGACTGCTGGTTCTGATGGGAGAAGGGCCAAGTGTAGTATGTTATAAAGTAGGCTGTGGCAGAAGAGGATAGTCAATGAGAGCGGAAGAAAGGAAGCAAAGTTATGCCATCAAAACAAGTTTAATCTTCCAATAAAAAAAAGATGCAATTTGCTTATCATCCTCAAGGCCAGCTTCTCATGCCTGCCATCACATTAAGTCATGGATAGCTGCAG